TTATAAGGGAGCCCACTGTATGGGAGAACATATTTGGCAATACATCTGACAAAGGTTTAGTATCCAAAATATATAAGGAACTCATACAACTTAACAAAAGGAAGATAAATAATCAAAATAAAAAATTATTACAAATAAAATATTGTCAAAGGACCTAAATAGACACTTCTCCAAAGTGGACATACAGATGGCCAAGAAACATATGAAAAAATGCTCAAAGTCACTGATCATCAGAGAGATGCAAATTAAAGTGACAATGAGGTATTATTTCACACCTGTCAGAATGGCTACCATCAACAAATCAACAAATGACAAGTGCTGGCAAGAATGTGGAGAAAAGGGAACCCTAGTACACTACTGGTGGGAATGCAGATTATTGCAGCCATTATGGAAAATAATATGGAGTTTCCTTAAAAAGTTAAATATGGAGCTGCCATTGACCCAGTGATCCCACTTCTAGGAATATATCTTAAGAAACCCAAAACACCAATCAAAAAGAATGTATGTACCCCTATGTTCATAGCAGCTAAGATCTGGAAACAGCCCAATTGCCCAGCTGTAGATGAGCGGATAAAAAAGCTGTGATACATTTACACCATGGAATACTATGCAGCAATATAAAAGAAGGATCTCTTACCCTTTGAGATAGCATGAAGGGACCTGGAGTTTGTTATGCTAAGTGAAATAAGCCAGTCAGAGAAAGATAAGTATCACATGATCTCACTCATATGTGGAATCTAACGAGCAAAATGAACTGTTAAAATAGATCAGAGATATATAAGCATGGAACCGACTGTTGAATCTCAGAGGGAAGGCGGAGGTGGGTGGGTGGGTAGGTGGATAGGAACTAATCAACCAAAGAACTTACATGCACACATGCATAACCCGTGGATACAGACAATAGGGTGATGAAGGCCTGGGGTGTGGTAGGGAGGGAGGAGTGGGCTAGAAGGGATCAATGGGGAGGAAAGGAGACATTTGAAATACTTTCAACAATAAAGATTTAAAAATAACATAAACAAAATCTATAACCTGAGAAATAAAGCAGATGGTTGGACACTGACTTGATTTTGTAGGAGATTAAAAATTTTTTAAATGCATCACTGTCCTTTAACTTCATGTTCTTTGGTCAGCCTGAGCAGTAAAGGGCCTCAGAAGATTGTTTCCTCTACTTCTGCTTACCTATACGTTGCTAGGATAACATTTAAAAAGTCCACCAGAAATCCAATTGGAAATATTTACTGGCATAGGAATAGCACTTCAGGCTCCTGGATATTTTGTTATTATCCTTTCAAAAATCTCACCTGCCTCGCAGATTGCTTTGCTTAAAGTGAGAAAAATAGTGGTGTCTATTTTAAGTATCATGATCCTTAATTTCTTAATCTTTTCTTCTTGAGTTCTATAATAAATCCATTCTAAGCTCCACATATGCATTAAGAAGCACACAAAAGTCACCTTTTCATTTCTCTCCAAAACATTAAAGCCTTTTTATTCTGTTTTAAAAGATGACTCTTTTAAAGCAAATTCTCTAAGCTAGCTTTCTAGCCACACATCGCAGAACACTAGGATCCAGTTTTTCTAGATGCAGTAACTAGTATAATAGCTGATAGGGTTATTTCACACGTCAGCATCTTAAGGAAAAGTAGCTTCTGAGCAGGGCCAGGACCAACTTTAGGAAAAAGAGGTGGAAGTGCTATGTTCAGGGTCTCTCTCTCTCTCTCTCTCTTTCTCTCTCTCTCTCTCTCTCTCTCTCCCCTCAATTATCACCAAATCCCCAAAATATTAGCCCAGTGGTTCTCAACCTGTGAGTCGCGACCCCTTTGGAGGTCGAATCGAACGACCCTTTCACAGGGGTCGCCTAAGACCATCCTGCATATCAGATATTTACATTACGATTCATAACAATAGCAACATTACAGTTATGAAGTAGCAACGAAAATAATTTTATGGTTGGGTCACAACATGAGGAACTATATTTAAAGGGCCAGAAGGTTGAGAACCACTGTTAGCCAATTGTAGCTACTAAGGATTTATTAGAAATGCCTTACAGCTGGTAAAGATTTCCAGACGTATTCCAGGAAAACAACTCTGATCCACATTCTCCTTCGTATGACTCAAACCTCAGATATGGCCACAATGTTCCCCAGAAGGTTCTGGGTTGGAGGTGTTTGTCCAAAGTTAGAGGTCAGGACAGGCAGGAAAGTTTCATTAAATTTCTGGAGCATTAAATTTCAAAAACCATCTCCTTCTCTCCCCCTCCCCACTTTTCTCTCTCTGGAAAAGAAATAATAATGAACATCGTGGCAATAAGATATAGAAAGAGATAAGGATCTGTAAACACCTCCCTAATTTAATATATTAATACATTTGCCTGTTTCAGAAATTCAGATGTAAATTTTCCCCCCAAAAAAACTGGCCTCTTTAGAACGAGAGTATTTGTGCTGTCATCATGCATGGTCCTTCAATGGTTTGGGAGATCAAAAGGCTACATACCATTAAAGCAAACCCCTTAAGGCAACTTATATTAATAAGTAATATACATATTTGCACAATTGATCATTAAGAAGTGCAACAATTTTACAGTGAAATAATTTCTAAACAGCCCTCCTTGGCTTATCTCATGCTTTGCCTCATTTGAGCTCTGCTCCTGTCACTCACAGGGCCCTCCTCTTAGGCCAATCCATCCAGAATCTCTCCTCCTTATAGGCCTCAGCTCAAGCATCACCTCTTCTATATCCTTTCTCTAACTGGTGGTCTCCCCTACCTCTTACTACCGCCATCACTTCATAATGGTCCATTGATTGCAGCTCCCTTTGTGAGAGGTCTGTGCAATTTAGAATATCTCAGGTTCACACTGCTTTTACCCAAGCAAGGACACTTCCAGGAGTTCCTTTAGCACCAGGACCTCGGTGACCCTCAACGTACACAGGATTCCTTCAACATCCTCATGTCTCCCTTCTTCACTGATGAGCTCCAATGGGTTACTTGGGCCACTTATTGTCACCCTCAAGCCCTGTGGCCAACATCTCTCAGCTTCCAGACTCACCGTTCTGATGTTCTTGTCCTCCATCTGACACCTACCCTGCATGTCTCCTACTCTCTGGTCTCTCAGCTTCACTTTTCTCTACATACAAACTTAAGGTCAGGCATTGCAACTACAGTTGACCCTTGAACAACGCAGGAATTGGACACTGACCCTTATGCAGTCAAAAATCCCTAGACCTATAACTTTTCACTCTATGGTGAACCCTTGCATCTGCAAGCTCAACCATTCACCCATGGAAAACAGCATTTTAAATCTACGCTTGGGAATCCATCATTGGAAATCTGCAGTTGGGAATGCAAAATTACTGTTTCAGATCCACAGTTGGTTGAATCCACAGATGCAAAACCTGTAGATAGGAAGGGCCCGCTGTATTTATTGAAAAAAAATCCACATATAACTGGACCCACACAGTTGAAACCTATGTTGTTCAAGAGTCCACTCTATATTCTTGCCAGCATCCTGAGATTCCTCAAATTTTTACCTTTTAAAGCTACACAACCCACATTGCCAATCCTTGATTCTGGATAAAGTGGACCATGCCTATTTCTGTTCTGAGCTGCTGGCATCCACCAGCAAAAATAGCAGCCAGCCCTGATTGGTTTGGCTCAGTGGCTAGGGCGCCAGCCTGCGGGCTGAAGCGTCCCAGGTTCGATTCTGGTCAAGGGCATGTACCTTGGTTGCGGGCACATCCCCAGTGGGGGGTGTGCAGGAGGAAGCTGATCGATGTTTCTCTCTCATTGATGTTTCTAACTCTCTATCCCTCTTCCTTCCTCTCTGTAAAAAATCAA